CAGTCCTCCATCTCCTCATTCCTATCTTCCTCTCCTCCTCCTCCCCTCCTCCTCCTTCATCGCTCCTCTCCTCGCTCCTCATCTCCTCTCCTATCCGACGCGACGGCTCCTCCTACATCCTCCCTCATTGGGGTATATGGCGGCTCACCCCGCCCTTTGTTCTTCTGCATGCTCACCCGCTCCCTCATACCTCACCTCCCGGGACTCCATTTCTGGACGAGCTGGTGGGGCTCGCGCGAAGACGTATAGCATCTAAAAAGTGTTCGCAAAAGCCCGTTGGACAGAATGTTAAAAAAGTGTTGGGGTTCATCCCAACCGATTCCGCAAGAGCGAGAGGGATGAAATTTTGACGATTTTGACAATTTTTTGTTGAAAAAACCATTGGTTTTTTGATGTTTTTATGTTAAAATCGCTGCGAACACTAAGGTTTTGGAAGGATTTCGTCTTGCGCGCGCGAATGTCCACTTACCTTATTTTTTGCAAGGGATTCTTGAAATTTGATTATATTAGAACAAGAAATGTCATTTTCTATTGTTTTTTGCCAGGGAAAGCGGATTACAACAAAACAACCGGATCCTGTACACACCCTCTTTTCTGAGGCTTCCTCACGAAAATGATGAAAATGTAGCTGCGGCCTAGGCGGCGCAGGGGGGGCGCGCACCAGGGGGCCCAACAATAATTATTCTTTAGAATAAATAATGTTCAACAACAACAACAACCATAACCACAACCACAACAACCACAACCACAACCACAACCACAACCACAACCACAACCACAACCACAACCACAACCACAACCACAGCCACAACAACAGCAATAATAAGCTTACCCTCATGAGCAATGTTTCCACACGAAGCATGCGACCATCATGATAACCATCCACGTAATGAGGGACTCTTGTTCTATAGCGGGGTCCGTTATTCCCATTCCCAGATATCCCGCCCAATGAGGTCTTGCAAACACCTCCTCCGAGGAGTTTCAACATATCCCGCTTGAAAAACACATGCCCGCGCCTTGCTGCGCCGATGCGAGACCGCCAGTGGAACCCCAGCGAAGTGTAAAGCACAAGGAAGTATCGAACGACAGGATTGCCTTGGTGGGGATGGGGGCTGTCGGCGGTGAGGCAAGGACCTGGCCCTGAATAGAAAGGGAGGAAGTCTCGAGCAGGGCTGCTGATGTTCTTGGGGGTGGCGCCAGTGCTGAAGAGAGTAACGGCGCTAGTCCAGCGTAAAACAAAACGACATCTCGAGCGGGAACGTTGGTTTTGTTGGGACGGCGGCTTTCGGCGGCGAGAAGGAACACCGCCTTGAGTAAGACAGGAGGGAGCATCGAGCGGGAACCGTGATTTTGTCGGGACGGGGGCTGTCGGCGGCGAGGAACAGCACCGTCTTCAGGAAAAAAAGGAAATCTCGAGCGGGAGCGTTGTTCTTGCTGGGAGTGGCGCCAATTCAAAAGAAAATCGGGCGCCAGTCCAGCGTAAAACGGGAGGCAGTCTCGGGCGGGAGCGCTGGTTTTGTTGGGACGGCGGCTTTCGGCGGCGAGGAGGAACACCGCCTTGAGTAAGACAGGAGGGAGCATCGAGCGGGAGCCGTGGTTTTGTCGGGACGGGGGCTGTCGGCGGCGAGGAACAGCACCGTCTTCAGGAAAAAGGGAGGAAGCCTCGAGCGGGAGCGTTGTTCTTGCTGGGAGCGGCGCCAACTCAAAGAGAATCGGGCGCCAGTCCAGCGTAAAACGGGAGGCAGTCTCGGGCGGGAGCGCTGGTTTTGTTGGGACGGCGGCTTTCGGCGGCGAGGAGGAGCACCGCCTTGAGTAAGCAGGGAGGAAGCATCCGGCGGGAGCCGTGGTTCTGTCAGGACGGGGGTTGTCGGCAGCGAGGAACAGCACCGTCTTCAGGAAAAAGCGAGAAAGCCTCGAGCGGGAGCGTTTTTCTTGCTGGGAGCGGCGCCAATTCAAAAGAGAGTTGGGCGCCAGCCCAGCGTAAAACGAAAGGAAGTCTCGGGCGGGAGCGCTGGTTTTGTCGGGGCGGCGGCTTTCGGCGGCGACGAGGAGCACCGCCTTGAGTAAAAAAGGGAGGAAGCCTCGAGCGGGAGCGTTGTTCTTGCTGGGGGCGGCGCCGATGAGAGAAAGACTAGCGCGCCAGTCCAAGGTAGAACGGGAGGAAGCCTCGAGCAATTCGAACGAGATTTGGGCGCCAGTCCAACGCAAAACGGGAGGAAGGCTCGGGCGGGAGCGCTGGTTTTGTTGGGGCGGCGGCTTTCGGCGGCGACGAGGAGCACCGGCTTTCAGTAAAAAAGGGAGGACGCCTCGAGCGGGAGCGTTGTTTTTGCTGGGGGCAGCGCCGATGAGAGAAAGACTAGCGCGCCAGTCCAAAATAAAACGGGAGAAAGTCTCGAGCGGGAGCGCTGGTTTTGTTGGGGCGGCGGTTTTCGGCGGCGAGCAAGAGCACCGGCTCTGGGTACAACAAAAAAAAGTCTCGAGCGGGAGCGTTGTTGTTGTTGGGGGGGCCGGTTTTTGGCGGCCCCCCAGCCGCTCAAGCGCGAGCCTCATCTTCAATGAAAACGTAGCCGGCGGCGAGACGAGAGCGCCAGAGCGCCTGGGGGTTCCAACAACAATGGTTGTTGATCAACTGACATTCAACAACAACGATAACAACAACAATAACAACAACAACAATACCAATAACAACAACAACAACAACAATAACAACAACAACAACAATAATAATAATAATAATAATAATAACAACAACAACAACCACAACAACCACAACCACAACCACAACCACAACCACAACGACAACGACAACGACAACGACAACGACAACGACAACAACAACGACAACATCAACAACAACCACAACCACAACCACAACCACAACAACAACAAAAACAAAAACAAAAGCACAATCAACAACGACAACAACAACCACAACAACAACAAAAACAAAAACAACAACCACAATAACAACAATATCGACAACAACCACAACGATCACAACAACTAAAACGAACACAACAACAACGACAACAACAACAACAACAGCAACAACAACAACAACAGCAACAACAGCCACAGCCATAATGACAGCAACAACAACAACAACAACAAAACCAACAACAACAACAACAACAAAAATTACTAGCACGTGGGGACACTCCGTTCTCACCAGTGCCAGGGTTTTCATAGGAGGCGGGCAATACCCCCACTTTGTGGGGGGCCGGTTCAAGCTCTACCAAATTTCCAAACGACTCTTCGCCACCACCCACACCCAGCTTCCCGCCCTATGACGTTCGGACACTTCACTTCGTGGCATGCGGACGACCGTGGCTACTATTCAGGGCCCGCGGCCGACGACGACGGCGTGCGCGCGCGAAGAAAAAACGAATGTGTCCCGCATGGTATTATTTGACAGGGATGATGGCCCTGGCAGGTGCGCAACCGTTGTCGCAGAAGTTCGAAAAAGGTGCTCGCAAAAGCCCGTTTGACAGAAATGTTTAAAAAGTGTTGGGTTTCCTACGAATCCGCAAGAGCGCGCGGGATGAAATTTTGACAATTTTGTTTGAAAAACCATTGGTTTTTTTGATGTTTTTATGTTAAAATCGCTACGACAACTAAGGTTTTGGAAGGATTTCGTCTTGCGCGCGCGAATGTCCACTTTACCTTATTTTTTGCAAGGGATTCTTGAAGTTTGGTTATGTTAGAACAAGAAATGTCCACTTTGCCTTATTTTTTGCAAGGTAAAACCGCCCGTAACAAAACAACCGGATCCGGACCAACCCGTTTTGCCGGAGACTTCCTCACGGAAATGATGAAAACATGGCTGCGGCCTAGGCGCGGCGAGGGGGCCGTGCACCAGGGGCCCCAACAATAATTATTCTTTAGAAGTAATAATGTTCAACAACAACAACAACAACAACAACAACAACAACAACAACAACAACAACAACAACTACAACAACATTAACACAACAACAATAACAACAACAACAACAACAACAGCAACAACAGCAAAAACAACAACGACAACCGCAACAACGACAACAACCAAAGCAACAACGGAGCAGGAAGCCCCGCCCGAAGATGCAAAGTAAGCCAAGACAGAGCACCGCTCAGCACTTCTGCGGCGGCCCCCGGGCACGCAGGTAGGGCTCGAGGGGCAGCACGTCCCCGGCGAAGACTGGGCGTCGCGTACTGGGGGGGGGCGATAGTGCTGACCCACCAGACCACCCCAACCGAACCAGAGGGCCCGAATTTCGGGTTGGCGGGGAGGGCGCGTGTTCCGCATCCCCCCGCCCCCCCTGGGAATGGAGGGCAAAACGGAGGCCTTCGGGTTGGGTTGGGGTGGTTTGGCGGGGGGTGAGATGAATGGAGGAGGGGGTGGGAGGTGCACCTCTCGAGCCCGAGAGGTCCCCTTTGGGGCCCCGGATTCCACATGCGTTTTTACAATTTTCCCCGACGCCCCCTCCGCTGGGAATTGCGGGCAATTGGGAACCTTTGGGTTGGGTTGGGGTGGCTTGGCGGGTGGTGAGATGAATGAGGGGGGCGGGAAAGGTGCACCTCTCGAGCCCGAAAGGCCCCATTGGGGCCCCAAAGGCCAGCTGTAGAAGGTCCTGCAAAGAGACCCCTTTTCCGCAGCCCACGCTGCCACCCCATGCATCTAGAAGAAGACACAAACGTAAACATGAACTGTTGGCGCTCCGCGCGGTTTTCTTGAAGCTGCGCTGGACCTCCTCCCTGGCGCGCGGAGCGCGCCAGGGGCGGCGCCGGAGGCGCCGCTGGGGAGGCCCAGGCGCAGATCCAAGAAATCCAGCGCGGCGCGCCACAAGTTCATGTTTATGGCGTCTTTTTCCCTTCCTCGAGGATCGCCTCCCCAGCACTCGACAAGCGCGTTCCACTACTCGCAGAGTCGCTCCTCGCGGATGGCCTGGATCTGCCGCAGGGACGGTACGATAGATTACACCGAGGCGGACGCATGGCTTCTCGGACGCTTGCGAGTAGGCACTTTGCGAGCAGCGGAACGCGCTCGGCGAATCACGCGAAGCCCAGAAAGAGCTCGTCGATGGGGTGCCGGCAGGGGCCCGCGGAGGCCTCCCCCGGCGGCCGCCCCGAGGAGAGCACGGAGCCCGCCGGCGGCAGCGGCCCCCGCCGCAGCCGGCAGAGCACCGCGCCCCGCGCGGTGCGCACGTGCAGCTCGTCCCCTGCGCTCCGCAGCACCTCCCCGACCGCGGCCGCGGCCCCCGCGGGCACCTCTGCAGAGAGGCCCTCAAGAGGCCCCAAGAGACCCCTGGGGGCCCCAAAGCGGTGTCAGGGGGCATCAGACGCGCCTCCAAGAGGGCCCCGAGAGGGCCCCCAACGAGACCCCAGCGAACATCCAATACGCTTTACACCCACAACGCAGGCACGGTGGCGGGATGGACCGAAGGCCATGAAATAGAGGGACCAAAGACTGCATAAACGTAAACGTTCGGAACTCCCCGCGAATTTCTTGGATCGGCACCAGAGGCGCCGCCTGGGGGGGCCCAGCGCCGATCCAGGAAATCCGCGCGGAGCTCCGAAAATCTATGCTTATGGAAGCTGTGTTTCCTCGAAACTCGCACTCGCCCTCCACGGAGACGGAAACTGATCCGACGTTGCGAACATACGCGACATCGGTAACCAGCAAGACTGCTAGTATGTTTAAACATTCCCTGTGAAGGTGGCCTTCGAGAATCACAGGAATACTTCGAGATACCACAGAAATAGTTCGAGATAGATCCGGGAAGTGTTGAAATTATTTCCAGAAACATGTCTGCCCCACGAAATATTGCGAACAATAGCGCTTCGGCAGGAGACAAATCGCTGAGCGGGACAAATCTTGCCTGGGCAAGTTCTTCTCCCGCTGAACAATTGTCTGGACAGGTTTTCTTGCCGGAACAAGATGTTCCCCGACAAAACCATATAGTTTAAAATAGGTCGTGGGTCGGAAATGTTTCGCATTCCCATTCCCTAACCTTGGAAAAAAACAAAATTCTCCTCATTGCAGACGGCTGTATTTCCTTGAATAATATGAACTATTTCAAGACACATTCTCGACCCACAAACTATTTCAAACAACATGGTTCCGGCGGGACGAAACTCGCCAGGCAAGAAAAATCTTGCCCGGGCAAGTTTCAAGTTTTTGTCTCGCTGAACAATATTCCACGCAGTTGTTTTCTTGTCCAGGCAGGTTTTCTACCTGGCGAAACAATATTGTTTCGCATTCCCTTTCCTTAACATCATTGAAACAATTCCAAACATATACCCCACGGCCTCGTGAAACAATTTCGGCTGCCCCCCGGCGGAATTTCTCGAGCCAGGTCGACCTGCGATGCCCCTGGGGCCCGAGACCGGGCGAAAACGCCCGGTGTGAAAAAAAAATACAGCGCCCGGATCTCAGGGAACCCTCTTGCGCACGACCCGAGCACCTCGCACTCGCCCTCCACGGAGACGGAGATCTCGCCCTCGCCCTCGCCGCCCGCGGACGCAACCCGGCAGCGCCCTGGCAGGTACGGGGCGAAGTCCAGCGCCAGCGAGAAGCGTCGCAGGAAGGGGCCGCTCCAGTGGAACGAAAGCCAGGCGTCGTTGGGCATCCCTTTGCGGTGGTAGGCCTCTGGAGACATCCCACATGCGGTCCGACTAGATAAGGTCGGGGGTTCGCACCGCATCGCCGATACCTCGCCGATGCATCGTTGATGCATCAGCGATGTCGGCGATACATCGGCACGATCAACACCGAGCCGCATAGCCGATGCATCGGCGATGCGGCGCGATCCTCCGACTACAGAATTTCGGGTATCCGCGCGGATGCCTTGGATCCGCGCGGACGTCCGAAACCTTACGGCCAGGGCATTGAATAAGGAACCCTTGGATGAGGAACCCAGGGCCTGGAAGCCGGTGGAACTCGACTCGTGGACAGGCCAATGATATCACCGCCGCTCTCGTCAGACAAGGAATCCTCCAGGGTCTGAAACCTCCTGGGCACATTCCTTACCGAACGCCCCCACCGTATGCTTATCAGGAGGCGGCATCCGAAGCCTACCCCCACCAAGCAGCGGTTCTCCTGATTCGATGGCAGGCGGGGGTAGGGATCGGACTGCTTTCGCCACGTGCTCGACGAATTCCAACACCTCCCCCCACCGACCATCCAGGTGCCGGAATCGTGGATCGGTGAGGGCAGGGTTCGGATTTCGCCGCCGACTTATGCCGTCTTTTGTTACTCGAGCCTCTCGACCCTCGCACCTGCCCAGGGGCTCGCCGGCCTCGAAGGCGTCCAGCGTGGCCGCAAACCTGGCCGCCGCCGCCTCGGAGAGGGCGTCATAGACGCAACGGTTCGTGTCGAGGAGCCCTCCGAGCGCGGGGTCCGCCACGTACACCTCGAGCGTGCCGCCAAAGTCGATCTCGGCACCGACCTGGTGGTGCGGCGACGATGCAGGTCTTTTGCAGACGTGGGATGGATGTGGAGGACGACGAGAAGGAGGAGGCGAAGGAGGCGGAGGAGGCGGAGGAGGAACATCGAGGAGTAAAGTCATGGTTATCCGAAACTTTCTTCACTTGCATCGCTCTTCTGGGCCTCCAAAGGCCTCCCGACCTGGTGGCGCGGCGAGGACGCAATGTTTTGCAGACCTGGGGTGGAGGTGGAGGACGAAGAGAAGGAGGAGGCGGAGGAGGAGGAGGAGCATGGAGGAGTAAGAGTCCAGGTTACCCGGAACTTTCCTGAATTATTTCGCTCTCTTGGGCGTCCACAGGGCTTCCGAGGCCCTGGCCTGGTACGTGGTGTAGCCCTGGGGCAAGCCATGGATCGGGCCGGACGACAGGGGGGGCCTGAGATCCGGACGTTGAAATTTTCTCGCACGGGGCGCTGTTCCACGGGTCTCGGGCCCAGGAACCATCACGGATCGGTCCGACTCGAGAGATGCCACAGAACGATGGGATCCAGGGCTCTGGTCGTGAGTTTTCGCGGTTGGGATTTGTCCTCAACGTCGATATCTCGGGGGACGATAACAAAAGAGGGGTAGTGATTCGGCTGCATGCAGCTGGCTTCCCCAGCGCCTCCAGGCGCCGTGAGCGACCATGTAGTGGGGAACGCGCGGGGTGGCAGGGCCGAAACGAGCAGCACGCGGCAGATTTCGTATACCTTGAGGGCCCTGGGGCCCGAAGCCGGGAGAGAACGCCTGGTTTCGGGCCCCAAGGGAGCCCCACAGCGCACCCAAATCGGGTGTTGCTAGAGGTGCCCCTCATACCTCATTCATCCGATCCGACTGACTAACTACGCAGGCACAACCTACCTAAACGTTCCTTCATATGTTCCTCCCCCTCCTCTCCTCATCATCATCATCATCCCCTCTCCCTCTTCTCCCCTCCTCCTCTCCTGCTCTTCCTCCAATCCTCCTCCTCCTCCTCCTCCTCCTCCTCCTACCTCCTACTCCTCCTCCCTCCTCCTCCTCCTCCCCTCCTCTCCCTCGCTCTTCCTCTCTGGCCCAGCCGCTCTGGGGCAAGGGCCCCAGCCCATGCAGCCCATGCATTTCTTTGTTGACGTTGAATTGCTGGGCACCTCGCTAGGACACCGTGTTAGGGAATTCTCTCAGTGCTTCGGAGTTTTCCAATGATGAGCTCGAGATCGTCGTTCTGGCAGGAGGCTCTATCTACGGCTGCACCCCTGTCGCCGCCGCCAGGGATTTGGAGCCCGTTCGACGTGGTGGACCTGGAATTCAACAAGGGCGCGCAGCCTCCTGAGCAGGTTTCCCTGCCGATGAAGCCGGAGGAGGAGGTGCAGTCAGTAAAACGTCTGAGGAGGTGGGACCGTTTGAAGGTCAACAACCAGAAGGCGTCGGCTCAGCCTGTGGCCCCGGTTTTGAAGGAGAATTTCGAAGGTGCCAGTACGGGGTCCTCGACATCGATGGTAGCGAAGGAAAGATTTTCTCACCCTCAGGAGCCTCCGGAAGCTCCGAGGGCTTGCATGAAGATCCCGACGCCGCCGCCGGCTCCGGAAGTGGCAGTGGCCAAGCGCCCTCGGAAGCGCGAGCGCAAGAAGAAGCACAAGGACGTCCGCACGGACGAGGCCAAGGCGGGCTTGAAGGAGAAGCCGCCAGCACCCCCGCCAGCAAGGGCTGCATCGAGCAGCTCTGCGTTGCGGGTGCCGCCGCCGCCCCCACCGCTCCGTATTTCCCGCACCCCGCCGAGGAAGCCGAGAAGGAGTCCAGGGCCTTGAATTGCTTCATCGGCGATCGCAGTCGCCGTAGAAGGAAGCACAAGAAGAGGGAGAAATGAGATGTGGACTCAAACGCATTCTTGGCTGAGCCTCCCTCTGATGAGGCTCGCTCGTCTGTTGCTGAAGCCGCTTCTGCAATCGTGCCCTCAGTGGTCTCTCCAAGTGCTGGTTTGGCTGAGCCTCCAACTGTTGAGGCTCGCCCTACGCTTGTGGAGCCTCTTTCGGCTGAGCCTCCGTCTGATGAGAATCGCCTTTCAGCTGCTACTTTGGCTGAGCCTCTTTCCGAGGCTCGCCCAGAAGAGTTCGTTGACGCTGGTTTGGGGCTGCCTCCTTCGGTTGAGGCGCCCTCCGATCAGATGGCTACGAGCGCTCTTTCGGGTGAGGTGGAAGGCTCGGCCCTCTCAGGGCAGCCTTTTTACAGACCCGACGTCCAGGCTAACGTGCCCTCAGTGGTCTCTTCGAGTGCTGTTTTGGCTGAGCCTCCTACTGTTGAGGCTCGCCCTACGCTTGTGGAGCCCTTTTTGGCTGAGCCTCCGTCTGGTGAGGTTCGCCTTTCAGCTGCTACTTTGGACAAGCCTCTTCCCGAGTTCCCCCAGGAGAGTTCGTTGACGCTGGTTTGGGGCTGCCTCCTTCGGTTGAGGCGCCCTCCGATCAGATGGCTATGAGCGCTCTTTCGGGTGAGGTGGAAGGGTCGGCCCTTTCAGGGCAGCATTTTTCCAGACCCGAGTTTCAGACGGGTCCTTTACCTTCGGGCGCGAAGACGCCCGCAGGCTCGAGTCTTGACGAGGGTGCGAAGGCACTCTCAGTCTCTGACCTCGAGTTGCTCAGCTGCTTTTCCGACGGTGATGAGGTAATTGAAAGGCTGCGGGTAGAACAATGGCTAATGGCACCTGTTTTGAGTGCAGCGTCTCGGTTGGTCCCGGCAGAGGCTACAAGGCTCATGCCAGTCGTATCAGCCTTGCAGGCGCACGCTAGCTAGGCAGTGTATGCAACTAGCCTCAGTTTTCATGCCACCAAGTTTTAACCTGCTTGCAGAGTTTAGCTTGGCGACGCACACAATGAAAAAAATCCTCCTCCTCCTCCTCCTCCTCCTCCTCCTCCTCCTCCTCCTCCTCCTCCTCCCCCTCCTCCTCCTCCTCCAGGTGCACCCCGGGTTTCCAGGGAGGCCCCACGGCCTCCACAGAGCATCCCTCGCGAGGCCCAGAAAACCCCAGGGGCTCCAGAATGGGGCGAAGAGCTGGGGGCACCTTGGGGGCCAGGGGCACCTCTGGCAACCCCCGACCAGACCGTGGGGGCCGGCCCCCCCCTTCGACAATGACCCCCCCCTCAGTCACAATGACCCTCGCCCCTTCGTCACAATCACCCCTCCGTCACAATCACCCCTCCGTCACAATCAACCCCCCCCCCCTTCGTCACAGTCCCCCCCCTTCGAATCGCCCCCCGTGTCGTCCGCCCCGAGATGGAGCTGCGCCCACATGGTCGGGCAGCACCCCCGGTTGAGCGGCAGCACGCCGAGGTGCGTGTTGATGACGCCGTGGAGGGGCGCCTCCAAGACGGGCCCCTTCAGGATGCCGTCGTAGCCCCCGATGACGACGAGGTCTACTTTGCGGGCGCGCTCCACCACCTCGAAAGGAAGAACATGATGCATAAGCATAAGATGTGTGTCACGCCGGGTGTTCCCTACCGACCTTGGGCCCACGGACCATCACAGATCGATCCGGCCAGAACAATGCAGCAAAGAAGCTGGGTCTCGGGCTCTGCTCGCGATTTTTCACGACGTTGCCCGGGCGGGAGAAAACAGCATGAGCATGCACTTTCGAGGCTCCGAGCGGATTTCTTCTTGGATCGGCGCTGGGGTCCCCTGTCGGCGCCTCCGGCGCCGCCCATGGCGCGCTCCGCTCGCCATGGAGGGGGCCCAGCGCCGATCGAAGAAATCCGCGCGGAGCCCCGAAAGTATGTATCTTTACGCAGTGCTTTCTTCTTCGGACCTCTGCTGAGTTGGCGTCCACGCTTCCGAGGTACTCCACGCCGCGGGCCCCGCAGATCTCCTCCAGCCTCCCCTCCAATGCGGCCGCGTGCGCGGCACTGTGGCGCTTCGCGGTGGCAAATATCCGCCACCGTGCCGTGAGGCAGCGAGAGGAGCGTCCTGAGGCCCCCTGGAGAGCTCTGCGCTGGTCAAACTCGCCCAGAGGCCTCCAAAGAGGAGCAAGAGGCCCCCAAGCGGCCCCTGCAAGAGGCGTCTGAGAAGCCTCTGAGAACCGACGCTGCCAGCAAAATGCGACATCGCGGAAAATCACGACCGGAGACCTAGACCCCATGTTTCTGCTGCATTTCTCGAGCTGGATCGATCTGTGATGGTCCTGGGGCTCGAAACCGAGCGAAAGCGCCCGGTGTGGAAAAAAATGCGATGCCCGCCTGGACCTCAAGGGTCTTGCAGGATCAGTCAGCATCGAATCGGCAAATCGGATCGGACCAAAATGTGCATCGAGTCGGGCTGCATCGGCACGGCGTCGAGATCGAATCGAATCGGCTGCGCCAGGACGCACGACAGCGCCACGCAAGCATCGGGACGCATAGGAGCGTCGGAACATCGGAATCCAATCGGATCAGGCCGGCCAGAGTCGACATCGAAGCAAACCAGCCAGATCGAAGTGGACCCTGCCCATGTGCACGACCAGGGCCTGGTGGCGGGTCGGGCCGGAGGCCACCAGACCACCCTGTAGCGAGCGAGGAGCACCTCTTGGCGGCGCGCACACGGGGGCAGCGGCAGGGGGGAAGGCCTCTCGGGCGCCCCCTGTCGCGGGCACCCCACGCTCCCCCTCGGCGTGCCCTCGGAGAGCATTCTGAAGGGGCTCTGAGACACACGAATCAATAGACACAGATGACAGGATTCCACATGTTTTCCCACATTTTCGGGGTGATCGTCCCCCCCCCACTCTTCCCATAGTTCCCCAAGTCTTCGGGGGAATCGACGATTCGTTGTGTCTGTGTGTGTATTTTTCACTCTGTGTGTGTGTGTGTCTGTGTCCTGCACCGCCTGCACCCCTGGGCCCCGCCCACTCCGGCCGCCTGAGGCCCCGCCTTCCTGTGCCCTGTCTCCCTAATTAAAGCTGTGCGTAGCCCGCCTAGCTTTTAGCGGAAGAGGTTCGCTCTCGCCCCGCAGATCAAAAAGTGCGTGTCTGTGTGTGTGTGTCTGTTTTTGTCCCCTCCTGACGTCTGTGGACGGCCGACGCGGCCCGACGCCTCGCTCTCGGACGAGGGCCACGCCTCCACCCTGTGGGCGCCGGGCCCCCTCCCTGGCGCGTGAGGCGCGACGGGGGCGTCGCCGGAGGCGCCGCCGGGGGGGGGGGAGGCCCAGCGCAGAGCTGAGAGCTCCACGCGGAGCTCCAAAACACTTGTGCCTCGAGGTGTGCCCAGAGAGACGCGGCGCTTCGGTCCAGCCCACCTGCCCCCCTCCCCCCTCGCTGGGGAAAGCCAAAGAATTATACTGCTGCCGCTACTCCCCGGACCTCTCCCAGGGTGCGTTCCGACCAGGATGTCGAAGCGAATCCAGCGGTGACGACGAGGGCCTCTCAGAAGGCCGAAGAAGGGGAACCACGAGGCGAGTGAAGCGGCATGGCATGGGTGCCTCGTCCTCCTCTGACCCAGCCCCTCCCTGCGCGTGGCCCGGACCTCCAGCTGCCCGAGCCCGTAGTCGGACACGCCGAGGAAGCCGACGGCCCGCACGTCGCGGCGGCTCGCTGCCGCCGCGCCGTCGCCGCCCCGCCCGGGCGGCATGCGCCGCGAGGCCGGCGGCCCTTCGGGCGGGGGGGAGACCGAGAACGACAATTGCCCGGCGGTCGGAAGAGGCAGGTCGAAACACGAAGCAGGGAGGAAGGGAAAGCAGTCTGGGCTCGGGCCCGCCCAAACAGGAGCAGAGCATAACAAAAGAAGGCCGATTCTTGAAGCAGGAAGGCGCTCGAAGTGTATTGGGATCTGGGAATCCAGAAATACCTACTTCCAACGACCGACACGTCTGAGGTTGAGAGGAAGGGGCTGGGAAGATACAGGGCACGCCCGTGTGATAAGCCCCGTCAACCTACGCGAGAATACGGATGAGATGATCATTTCTCCCAGCCCCGTCCTCCCAACCGGATGATTGTCGTTCTGAGAGATGGGCCGGCGCCCGAAGCCAAAATGGCAGCTCGAGCGTGCCGCCAACGTCGAGCTCGGCCCCGACCTGGTGGCGCGGCGAGGACGCAATGTTTTGCACACCTGGGGTGGAGGTGGAGGGCGAAGAGAAGGAGGAGGCGGAGGAGGAGGAGGCGCATCGAGAATTAAGAGTCCAGGTTGCCCAGAGCTTTCCTGAACTGTTTCGCTCTCTTGGGCGTCCAGAGGCCTCCCGAGGCCCTGGCCTGGTACGTGGTGCAGCCCTGGGGCAGGCCAGGGATTGGGCCGGACGACAGGGGGGGGCCCCTGAGCTCCGGGCGTTGCAAAGTTTCTCGCACGGGGCGGTGTCCCCCCGGGTCTCGGGCTAGGCCGGGCATGTCCCCTACAGGCGGATCTCAGGCGAAAAAATTAAAATACTCACACAATAGCCCCAAATAGTCAAAACAAAAAAAGATGCAAAAAGTCGCCCCCAGACTATGATTTGACTATTCTTGGATCTTCCCCCTGTAGAAAGACATGCCCGACTTAAGCCTCGGGGAGAGGGGTCCTTTGAGGTTTTTGGCCGTTCCCAGTTTCCCCATGCATGGGACAAGAGGCTGGCCCGTGGGGATCTGGGTGGCCCGCTCCGCCTCGAGGCCCCTTCATCGAAGCGCGGAACAGGTTTGCGCCTTGCCTTCTTTGCCCCTGTCCTTCGCCGTTCGTCCCTCGTCCCTTGTCTTGTTCTCCCTCCTGCCCGATGCGGCTCGAAGAGTGCCGCAGAGAAGATGGGGTCCGGGGCTCCGGTCGTGATGTTTCGTGGTGCTGAGATGTGATCCGCAGCGTCGGAGTGCCGGGGAGCCCGAGTCCAACCGAGCCGGGGCGAGGCGGCGGGCAAGCCGGAGGAGGAGGAGGAGGAGGAGGAGGAGGAGGAGGAGGAGGAGGAGGGGGAGGAGGAGGAGGGAGGAGCGAGGAGGAGGAGGGGGAGGAGGAGGAGGAGTAGGAGTAAGGAGGGAGGGAGGATGAGGAGGGCGATGGAGGGAGACCGAGGAATTGAGGAGGGAGGGAGGAATGAGAGGAGGAGAGGAGGAGAGGAGCGAGGAGGAGGCTGAGAGGAGGAGGGCCAGGTGGGAAGAGGCGAGGATGGAGAGGAGGAGGAGGACTCAGGATGCAGGGAGGGGGGGCCAGGGCAAATCCAGGATGCGGCACGCCCTCCCTCCCTTGCCAAGCCCCCGCCCCTTCACAGGTCCCTACAGTCAGGTCGGGCATATCGTCCTGCAGGCGGATTTTGGAAGAGAAGTGAAAAATAGCCAGAAACATCCCAAACTAATCCAAAAATAGTGCCGAGGCTATTCTTCCCCACATCCAAAGTGGGGTTCTTGTTTTCTCTGGACACCCCGCGCAGGAACAGGAACACACACACACACCCACTCACACCCACTCACACTCTCTCATCATCAACCATATTGACCCCACGTCCCACCTTTCAGCTCATCGATGATGCTCCTGGCACATTTCTTAGTCACTCACATAGCTCGATCATCACCCGATCTACATCCATCAACTCTCCACCTCACACGCTCACGAAGGCGTGGGACCGGCGCGCATCATAATATCATCATCTCATCCTATCATCAGCTAGATCGTGCATCATGCCCCCTCATTCAAACCCCGACAAAGCCGATCAATCATCGCCACCACCACTCACAATCAATCATCATCCTCCTTTCAACCACTCATTGGCTTTCACCACCAGACTCCGCCATCAGCCTCATGTCCACTCCGTGAATCATCGTTGAGTGAGTAATTTGTGAATGAAAGTCTCATGCGGTAGCCCCCTCCCTATGGGGCCCGCATAATCATTGTTTGTAATCCGAGCGGGTCCATCGGAACCTGTAACTGTCTGGTCGTCGACGTTTTGGGAGAGCTCGTCAAGCCTGAAAATGGAGGAAGTCTCAGGCGGGAGCCTCGTCTGTGAGTGAATTGGGAGGAAGTCTCAGGCGGGAGCTCCCTCCCTATGGGGCCCGCAGATCATGTTGGTAATCCGAGCGGGTCATCGGTCACTTTTGGGCTCCTCAGGCCTGAATATGGAGGAAGTTTCAGGCGGGAGCCTCGTCTGTGAGTGAACTGCGAGGAAGTCTCAGGCGGGAGCCCCCTCCCTATGGGGCCCGCAGATCATGTTGGTAATCCGAGCAGGTCATCCAAAACCTGTAACTGTCGTCAATTTTGGGTTCTCGCGCTGCCAGAACGCAGCTCCCAGGCCACATTTTGGACGCAACAAGGAAGTTTTTGGGCTCCTCAGGCCTGAATTTGGAGGAAGTCTCAGGCGGGAGCTTCGTCTCTGAGTGAACTGCGAGGAGCCAACTGTAGGCCACTTCGTGTTCGTCGTGTTCCCAGAGCGCTATTCCCGGCACGCATCCACTGGGACGCACCCCTGTGCGTTTCCTCTGGGTCGTGCCCCCGCACGTATCCACTGGGACGCACCCTTGTGCGTTTCCTCTGGGTCGTGCCCCTGGCACGTATCCACTGGGACGCACCCCTGTGCGCTTCCTCTGGGTCGTGCTCCGGCACGTATCCACTGGGACGCACTCCCGTGCACTTCCTCTGGGTCGTGCCCCGGCACGTATCCACTGGGACGCACTCCCGTGCGCTTCCTCTGGGTCGTGCCCCCGCACGTATCCACTGGGACGCACTCTTGTGCGCTTCCTCTGGGTCGTGGCCCGGCACGTATCCACTGGGACGCACCCCTGTGCGTTTCCTCTGGGTCGTGCCCCCGCACGTATCCACTGGGACGCACCCTGTGCGTTTCCTCTGGGTCGTGTTCGGCACGTATCCACTGGGACGCACCCCTGTGCGCTTCCTCTGGGTCGTGCCCCCGCACGCACGTATCCACTGGGACGCACTCCTGTGCGTTTCCTCTGGGTCGTGTTCCGGCACGTATCCACTGGGACGCACTCTGCGCGCTTCCTCTGGGTCGTGTTTTGGCACGTATCCACTGGGACGCACTCCCGTGCGCGTCCTCTGGGTCGTGCTCTGGCACGTATCCACTGGGACGCACTCCCGTGCGCTTCCTCTGGGTCGTGCTCCGGCACGTATCCATTGGGACGCTTCACAGTTCGATCTACATTCGTGCTTTTGAAGCAGGAAACTATGCCCTTTTTTTCAATTTTCGTGTTCGGACTCTGGGTTCCGA